ACAAACAAACAAACAAACAAACAAACAAACAAACAAACAAACAAACAAACAAACAAACAAACAAACAAACAAACAAACAAACAAAATTAAAAGGGTTCTTTTTCTGAACCAGTTAAAGAAAAAACTAGGAGTGCACAAACAAACAAACAAACAAACAAACAAACAAACAAACAAACAAACAAACAAACAAACAAACAAACAAACAAACAAATCACACCAGAAATGATTTCTACACCTGAAAATGAGGTGAGCTGTTAAATGTACTGTATATATAAGTATAGTTATGCAAACCCCCTGCAAATCTGATGGGCTTAAGAGTACATCTCAACACCAAACAAATACCACAAGGAACACGTTTTAGTTACAGGTGCCCAAAACATTTCAACATTACTCTGTCCAGTGTAAAACTCGCAGCTGTCATGGTTCTGGGTCTTTTACATCGAAGTATTCTGTTTGATTTACTTTTACTTCATGTGTTTCTTTAGTATTGTGAGTCTTTAGTGCTTAGTTCCAGCTTCTGTTTTTATTAGAGGTGATGTAATTCTGTCTGTTTCCTGTTTTACAAAGTCTTACTTGCAGTGTGCTCAGTTTGAATTGTGTTCAGCTTTAAGGTCAGTTGTGTCATGCTCCTAGTGTGTTCCAGTGCTTTCTTGATTGTAATTAGTTTTTGTGTTCTGGATGTCACAGCCGATGAAGACTCGTATTTTGCTAAAAGGTTAGCAAAGGCGATTTGACGCAAATTAGCATGTTGTCACAATTTCAGTGGGATTGCAGGTGATTTTCTACTGGAAATGTACATTGCCATTACAGGTCAAAACACCTGGTGAGGAAACAAGTAAACATTACTTTAAGGCCAAGGGGCTTACATGCTATATGTTTTTGTGGAATTACATATTTGTTATGTTTTTAGACGAAGTGTCCCCACCTCTGAGGTGAAGCTAGTCAGAACTAGTCAGAGTGTATAAAATGAGCAGCCAGTTTGAAGATCTAGAAATGGGCTTTAATAACACCATAGAGCAAAATGTGCGTTGTAAAAATGTTGTAGACTCCATATTTTAACACATTATCATGTATACTACTTTAAATTTTCATTTAAAACCAATTAAAGCCACATTGTTACACTATTACATCATGTCTGTATGCCACTCTGAATTAATTCAGGGACTGGTTGCTTTTTCAAGGCTGGCTGCTGTAACGTGGGTTGTATTCAGTGGCTGAGAGGAGGAGGCAGAAAACTCAGCAGGACAGTCAAAAACTCACAATGACACTGGTACTGGGAATTCCACAGTGCTTGTCCTTCAATAAACACACTCTTCAGCAAGGCCCGGTTGCTGCTGTCGAGTGGAGACACTATCCCAGCTTGCATCCTACATCCTGCTACCATGTGCTGGATATTCTCTGGGCACCTTTGCACAACCTGCAACTTGGGTCCTGTTGGCTGTGGTAGACTCCTGCTTCTGTGGATCAGGTGCTCTGCCTTTTCTAGCCACTGGTAGAATGTCAGGCACTTCCTTTGTCTGTCGATGGTACACCCCATGCAGGGGATTGGTCATTCCTCTTCCTCTTTCTCATCACCCTCTGTTTTCAGTTGCCTGAGGCACTCTTGGAATGGCTCATCTTGGGGGTGATGTATTTGTGGATGTTTCATGTTTTGGCTCTAATCCTTGCTCTTGAGGTCTTGGACTTCGTGTGGAGCTTTATATCCATATCAACTTTTTGAAAAGAGCTGATTGAGGGGATTACAACATAAGGACCCGAAGCACACTGCGTTGCAAGTCTTTATTTTCAGTGTCCTTCATGCTTTTATCAGAGCAGCTTTCCAGCTGCCTTCTTCCCTCCACACCACAGGTCTTGGCAAATAATAGGAAAGGCATGACCAGGTGATGAAGAACAGCTGTGTGGTTCAGCCTCGACTGCTCCACCCTTCCCATGCAGATGAGCCACACACCCTGCCACAGAGGCCACAAATGCACAACAGCAGTTGGACAGTCCATCACCTTGGTATATTTAACACTTGATGGTAACTTGTGAGACTGCCTTGGAGTTGGCCTCCAGCGCTGTCTCCTTTTGAGTTCCTGATGAGCACTCCAGCATCCGTGTGTGGGACATTAAATTATAGACTTTCCTAGGTGGTGCTCAGGTTGGTCTGACAGGTTTTAAATCCCTGGTCTATGGCTCTATTGGCAAGGACCTGGTGCTGGTGGAAACACTGCACTTGCTAAGCGTCCCAGTAATGGAGTAGCGTTAACGCTCCGAAATCATGACTGCCTGTTAAGCCTTTAGAAAGTTTATTGATTTCTGTATATTTTTCCCTCTTGCCTATATTTTTCAAGAAAAAGATCATTGAACATTGAATTAAATGTTAGTAATATTAAAATGACACATGATTTGTGTTGCTGAATGATTTATTGTTGATTTGTTTTTCACCCTCAGCACCTCATACCGCTCCTACCTGTTGGATGACCAGGTCCATGGAAGAGCAGATCTTGGAGGACTGATCAAAGCCTTGCAGTCTGGTTGCAGATGCCTGGAGTTGGGAGTAACTGATGGCCCAGAGGGGGAGCCTTTGCTCGGGGTTGACTGTGGGCCTGATATCCCACGACACCATCATCATCACCATCATCATCACCACCACCATGCACCAGTCACTATCCGCTCTGCTCTGGAGGTGGTCAATAAATATGCCTTTCTGACCTCTCAGTACCCTCTTTTGTTGTACCTGTGTCACCGTTGCTCCCCAGACCAGCAGCACACCATGGCACAGAGCTTGAGGAAGGTGTTCGGATCACGTCTTTACACTCCAGAAGCCCTGCCGGTCAGCCTGGGAGGACGAGCTACAACCTTACCCTCGCCTGAACAACTTAAGGGACGCATTGTTATAGTGGGGAAGAAACTCCCTCCAGACCATGAAGGCTGTGATGGGGAAGTGTCTGAGGAAGATGAGGAGATAGGCGGAGGTGGACCTCTGGCAGGAAGAAGAATGACAATACCTGGTGAGGAGGAACTGGGTGTGGTCTTGGTGGTGCCTCCACCCTCTCAACCTAGGAAGCTCCGTCTCCACAAAGAGCTGTCAGACCTGGTGGCCATTGCTCGAACTGGAAGTCGTAGCTTCTATGCCCAGCGAGCCAGTCACAAGCAGGCTCAGCAGCAGACTCCCCCCAGTAGTCCATCCTCTCCCAGCACACCGGTGGCTCCCGAGCTGCCTTACTGGACACTGTGCTCTTTAGGCGAAGGAGAAGCTGGACGGCTGACCAGTGAAAGCCCAGAGGACCTTGTTATGTTTACCAAGCGCACCCTAACCAGAGTACGACCCAGCTCCGTGCGTCTGGACTCCAGCAACCCTAACCCACAAGGGTACTGGAAAGGAGGAGTCCAACTTGTGGCCTTGAATCAACAGACCCCTGGCGCAATGTTGGACCTTCACCGAGGCCGCTTCACACAGAACGGAGGCTGTGGTTATGTTCTCCGACCTGCCGTGATGCGGGATGAAGTGTCGTATTTCAGTGCCCACACGCAGGGCTGCGTGCCAGGTGTCCCACCTCAGACCCTTCGTATTAAGGTCTAGATGTTACTCTGTTTTTCCCCAACATTACATTTTTCATTCTGTCGCACTAACCCTCTGAGGTGATGAGATGACTCTAACCCGTGGCAATCGGGATATGTACTTTTGCTTTCTATTCGATCGGTCAGTCAGTATCCTGTGTTAGCCCTGCATTAGTGTGTACCCTGCCTCTCGCCCTATGGTAGCTGGAATGCAGGCAGTTAGTGGGGTTAAGTTTGTTGATGATCCTAAATTGCCCATAGGAGCAATGTTTGCCACAAGCAAAACCCTTTTTTGTGAGTATTGTAACAGAGATTAAATTAAAATAAACTAGGTTACATTACATTGTTCAACCCTCTAAATCAGGGGTCTCAAACATCAAAGAGCTGTGGGACACTGCTGGCACTGTCATCATCATGTGAGAGCCACTTTAGTGTTCAAGTAGTACAAAAAAACAAGCAAACAAAGAAGACATCCACAAATATTTCTGAAAATGCAGTGTTTTTTTTTTTTTTTTGTAAGTTTCAGATATTCTATAACAAGACAAAACTGCAAACGTGAACACATTTTTTCTTCTCACTCTCAACTGAATCCTTTCATTGAACTACCAGATAAACAAATTGGTACCTTCTTTCTGGCCGGACACGTGGCAGCACTATAATTATATAATTATAATTTTGTTTGTATTTAACAAAATAAAAATGCAGACATAAGTGTACACATTAGTTTGTGACTGCCAGTGAAAACTGTTTTCTCTACAAATAACTAACAACAAGTTTGTCCTCATGTTGCCTTCACATTAAATCATTTTTTGCTTTTTAAAGAACTTATTTTAACATTGGACTCAACAACAAACAAATCCTCCCTCACCGAAAAAGTCACTTCAAGGGCCAAATTGCATTATATTTCTTCAGGTCAATATACAAGCAGGGGTGACGTGGCCCCTGGGCCGTGAGTTTGAGACCCCTGCTCTAAATACACTAAAACGCAAAAGTGTAAAACAAATTTAACATAAGCTGCTTGTGTTTTACTCTGCAGATTATCAGTGCCCATAACCTACCCAAGCCCCAGGGTTCAGGGGCTAAAGGAGAGGTTATTGACCCATATGTGGTTCTGGAGCTGCATGGAGTACCAGCTGACTGTGCTGAGCAGCGGACTCGCACTGCTGCTCAGAACCAGGATGACCCACTGTTTGATGAGACGTTCGAGTTTCAAGTAAGTTATGTTACTACATTATGAAACTGGCTGAAATGTTTGCTGCTGCTCTCTATTTATTACATTTTTTGGGAATATAATAGGAGTGAGCAGCTTCATTAATAACAGTCAACAATATTATATATAATTCATGTTATTAAGATCATTAATAGATAGTTCCCATTTTTATTGAACTGCATTTACCTCTTGATGTGAATCAGCTGCATTTTAACCTAAACTTCATGTTTCCTCTGGGTAACTTTCTGTTGTCCAAACAATGTCTCGATAGCAGGTATCTAGGCTAAATTTGGGATTCTTTAATTTAATTGACATCTAAACACATCTACACAGCTGTACTTAAAGCAAAAAGTCAGCATTTCCAGGCTGGCATTGCATCCATGACTGGCAGTTTAGTGCTTAAAACGATTACCTGCTGTTTGGAAATGGATGTTATTCACTTTGTCATATGGCTTACACTTTCAACCAGGCAATTTTTTTTTCACCATGATGAAGCAGCATGACCTCTGTGACCTCTGTGCCTACAAACATGAAGCCGATGCAAAACAGCAACAAAATCCTGATATCCCTCTAATGATGTTGGTAAAGTTGTCTTTTCAGTTAGTTTTTGCTGGGTGGAATAAATATTATACAGTTGGAGTGACCTTTTCACTGATATTTTAAAAAGATTTTGGTGCACCATTAGGACAACAGACCTTCTCCCAGGTCACATTATTTGAGTATATTGAGAGTTGCACACCATTGACTATACAGCAAACACCATAGTTTAAGCCATTTACATAACCGCTTCAGCGCCTTATAATAATCCTGCTTATAGACTGCATAATATTATTTTGATTTTGTAGAGAAGATTGTTTGGGTTGGTTTTTCCTAAAAAAAGAAAGTAAGCCTGGAGACGTTTAATGGAGCGCAGGATGCTTCAGAGGTTTCAATTCAGTGAGATTACAGTGTGAAAGAAAAGGAGTTTGAAGCATGACATGATCAAGAATCATCCACTAATCTGGTCCTGTCCAGACTCCGATTTTATTGCATAAAGTTGCATTTTAATGTGCGATGTGGTGTGTCCTAGATTATGCATTGATATGAAGAGGAAAATGTCAACACATAAAGGAGTCTCATATGATTTCAGAGAGGTTTATGTCTGTTCTTATTTGGACTGCACCTGCTTAAAGCTAAAGTCCAGAGTGCTTAATTGGAGGAGAGTCAAGATCAAGATATAAATGAGATAATATTATGTATTATGCACTTATGCATGCAGTGAATTTATCATGGGAGATGGTACTTGATGACTGGCTGATGGCGCTTTTTTGGTACCTTTTGCTGACAGCGGCTTGCATCACTGTGTCTGAGCTATAATCATAAGCTGTCGCCACGGATATGTGCTCTGCAATCACACGATATACACATGTGTATGTAACTCCCTGCAGACATAATGTACGTCCTTAAGGACTGAAAAAGAAGGACATAATACCTGTAATCAAGAGACAGCAATTGCATTCTCTTTGGCAGGAGATGACATAAAATGAGATTTGAGAACGCATATGCATGAGATGTAGCTGTGTCCCATTTAAAATGATACCTTCATCTGAGTGCTACATTAGGCAACTTTGGTGGTGGGCCAGCCGTACACAATGTTATTATCTTGTTAGTTTAACGCTTAGACCAAAGTTCATTCTGGTGATCGACAAGGGATCATTCTTCAAAACGAGGCTACGAACAGCTTCAGTTTCTTTCTTTGCTGCTCACAGTGAGCTGACAGATAAATGGTGAGTATATCAACATCTATATATCTATATATCAGGTCTTCAGCTGGACTTTATTTATCATAAATATCGACAGACGATTTATGATTCAGTAACAAGTCTTTAATTAAGGGAAATCACCATGCCGACATGGCTACACATCGGTGTCAAGTTACAATGAGCTTAGATTCAGGTCTTCAGGAGTCAAATGAAGCCCCCTCCTGCACCGACACTGGTGAGAGTGTAAGTGTTGCTTTGCTTTTGCAAACAAAATATGTTGCTATGGTTGCTAAATGAAGCAAAAGGTTAACCAGAATTGTTAGAGAAAACCACTTCCCCATGTCCCCATGTGCTGCCAAGAACAATAAAGCAGCGACTACTCTTAGCTCAACTGCAATTTGCCTTTAATTTTGCCATCTAAAATTGTTATATGTCATATCTATAATAGAAAAATGCAGCATTATGAAGCTTTAGTGTTCTTAAGCCTGAATTGAGCTATTTTTGGATCTTCTGCATACTCATATCTGCATTTCATGGCCAGGTGAGACAAAAGTCTGACTCCAGTCTTAACTCAGTTTTGTTACTACATTTTAGTTAAGTGCTGCATGTGTACTACGACATACCTACAACGCCAGTATCAGTGTCTTACCACACACTAACCTGATCTTGGCTGAAATCATGTGAGTCGGCTTGTTTGGATTGATTTCTTATATATTCCTTTTCTCACGGTTTTCTTCATGAAATGACAGTGTTCACAAAAACATGAACAAACTGAAATAAATAGAGGAGATGCCATACTTATCTGGGCCAGTATTGCCATGATAAGCCTATTGTTGCCAGCTGATTTTGACAGTGAGTGACAGATAAGGTGGTTTAAACCACCTAAGGGGAACAAACTAGGAAAAGGGGCCTGTTAGAGAGTCACGCCAGGCAAACAGTGTCGAAAATCATCTTATCTGGTGCCCGCATGGATCACGCCTGACCATAGAAACAAGCTGTATGTTTGCAAAATGTGTTGGGGAATGTTGATCTGGTGCTGGATTCTGAAATGTCCAAATAGTTGTTTGACTCTGTTTTGAGCAGTTCTTTTATTTGTCTGATTTGTCCATGTAGCAACTGTCAAAAGGTTTGCTAAAAACTGAGGTCAGCTGGTTTGAATAATGTTGGAATAGCATTTGACATGTTACACCGTAGCTGTCTGTAAAACCAGAGCTGGGCAATGAAATAAAGCTGTACTTGAGATTACATTCTTTCTTGATTTTTCTTGCTTTCTGTCCACGATGAAATTACTCACAGCAGTAGTGGCTTTTCCCTTTTTGTCATCACTGCTAAAGACTTTATTGGATTTGTCACTGAACAAAACTGACCAGGGGCTCTATGCTTACAGTGTACACTGCCAGAGTCTTTAGTCTCATTAGCATTAGAGACTGTAACCCAAAACTAAGCAAGGAACTGAAGGGCAGTGCGCCATGTAACACACATAAGAAATTCAGGACCCTACTAACACGCAAGCTGGCCTTCAAGAGCAGCTGCTCACAATCAGACACAGCTGATTTCATGGTGTGTGGTTAAGTGTGGTGTCAGCCCTTTGCTCTCGTATGTCTTAATAGAAAATTTCAGGCTGACACTCACCAGTCGTGAGTACTGGGGTGCGTTTCATTTGTCAGAAATCCAACAAGTGAAAACATGTTGGTAGAAGCTTTTTTAAAAAAAAAAAATTCAAAACTTGAACCCTCTCATTTTAAAAAGTAGTAATGTACAGTACATTGTTGTAGCTGTTTATAGCTAGCTAGTGCCTAACTGTGTATAAGTGATGTAAATTTAATTATCAGATGATGAGCACAAGGCTCTCAGCGTGCCCTGTTTTTGTGTTACTACTCTATAATGCACCAGCTACACGCGCACCCTTCAGGAAAGTGGAATTCAAAGAAGTATAACATAAGTAACCATTTGTCCTTGGTGTCTGCATTTTAGCCACAAGCTAAGCATGCATTATTTGAGAAACTAGACAATTTCTATAAAATCAACCCACTGAAATTTATTCTCATAGGATGGCCAATGCAGGCAAAGTGAGTAACTCCATGTGAAGAGGCTCTAACAAAGCTGTAGACGTCATCTGCAGGGCTGGAAGAACCTCCTGTGGGGGCTGTTGTATCAGTAGCTTTCTGTTAACCCTGTGAGGCTTAGGTCATCAGTTACCCATACTTCATCCACCCATTTTCTTCCACTTATGCTTTTCATGGTCGTGGGGGCGCTGGAGCCTATCCCGGGGTACACCCTGGTCAGGTCGCCAGTCTGTCGCAGGCTAACATATAGACACAGACAACTATTTGCACTCACATTCACCTATGGGCAATTTAGAGTCTCCAGTTAACCTATACTCACTAGGTGCATGTCTTTGGACTGTGGGAGGGAGCTGGGTGGTGTTTCCCAACCACTGTGCAGCGGCACATTGCTCTGGTTCCTCCTGACTAGTAATCTAAGCGATGGGGGTGAGTAACGGGCAGAACAATTACATTCTCTTCCACTAGAGGGCAGTACAACTACCTGCTCTAATTAAATTGGTTGCCAACTGCCAGTAAAATAGAAGAAGACAAAGAAGAAATTACATAATAGTCATGCTGCGAGTGAGACAACGCAGCGCATAATAGCAATAGATAAATATTTTAAAAGAAAAAGTAGTCAGTCTGACCTGGATCCTGGAGAAAACTCCGACCCAGATGAAGGCCCTAGCATGAGTGGTGATCAGAAGAAAGCAAAAAAGGTATACTAGGGACAAACCGAGCCAATTCTCTTTTACCTGGTGTTTGGGGGAAAATAATCAATATGCTTTTGTGACATTTTTGTTTGGTGTTATGCCGTGTGATTTTTCTAATGTGAAATATGTGCTGTGGCTGAAAAAGGTTGGGAAACACTGATCTATGCTCCTGCCCTTTAAGACCCTGCACTCTTAAACTTAAACTTTTTTCTGATTGGCCAGCTTCCAGAAGCTTGCTGAGGGGCATACCTTACAAACCAACACTGCAAAGCACACACCTTACCCTCACCTCAACTCAATGCCTAATTTTTTCCCATGATTGTTATGAAAACATTGTAACATTATTTCAGCAGAAAATTAGAAAAGGTTTGTTCATTTCATTTAAAAACTATTTCCAGGCCTGAAATATGACTTATATGGTATAAAAAAATCCAACTAAAAGAAATATGAATGCATTATTGCGAGCATAATGTAAGCATGGACACTGAGTCTTGCGTTGAGAT